GGTGAGTCTAGCAGGTGAAGAAAACATGCAGGTGAACACAACAGGCTTCCTGAGTTTAAGTATTGCTGTTTGTTCCTCGGTTCTGGAGGCAGAACCAGAGCTTTCAGACCCGTCTGGAGCTTTAAAATATATCAGCATCCAAAGGGAAACTGGAGGGAAAATGGGGACAAAGTAAATCCTCTGGAAGGGGGGCGAGAAGAAACCTGAAGAAGAAGAAGAGGCTCTGCGAAAACCTCTTTCTTTCTGTGAATTTAATGTTTTTAAACCAATTAGAAACTTCTAATATAGCTTTCAAATGTCAAATTCAAGGTTTTCTATCTAGTTTTACTAAGTATATCTATTTAAAAAAGGGCCTTTTAAGCTGATTCTGAACATTTTTACGATTAGAGACGAAGGATTTCTCTCATTTTTGTGAATGAAATTATTTTTACCAAATGATTTAAAGTTCCTGATGTAAATCAGGTTGCATTTTTTCTATTTGTTTAGTTTTTTTTTCTATTTATTTAGTAAAACTAAAGCTGAAAAGGGCATTTTCAGCAGGTTCAAATCATTTTTCTGAATATTTAATGAAATGTTTTTAACAAATTATTAGAAATTCCAAATTCCAGGTTTTTTATTTGGTTTTACTTAAGATATCTTTAAAAAAGGCATTTTTAGCAGATTCTGACCAAATTACAAAAACAAATAAAGAAATCAGGTTAAAATGTTCTTCATTGTTTTATCTTGGTTTCAAAAAGTAGCTTCTGAAGTTAAGAATTTAAAATTTTACCAAATGACAGAAAAAGTCTGGGATGGGATGACCAAATATGGAGAGGGGGCGGGGACTCGACTCCAGACTGGAGCTGATTGGACAGAATCATTCAGTGTTTGTTTACATTCCATTTGAACGTCTCTTATTTTGTTCAGTCTGAAAAACAAAGTAATTTTTTCTGCTTTTGTTCGAGTTAAAGAACTTTTTAAACAAAGTGGGCGGAGCCTGTTTGATCAGCCCACAGGAGCTGACCAATCAGAGCGGAGCGGCCTCTTAGAAGGGGGCGTGGCCTCACTAGCTTCAGTTTGCAAAACACAGCTGGAGTCCAGAGAAGTTTAAATAC